AGAACGGGTCCAAAATGGGATATTTGTCCATCAATCTAATTACACTAAAAGAATACTGAAACGATTCAATATGGACAAGGCTAATCCATTTAGTGCCCCAATGGTCAATCGAACATTAGATGTCGAAAAGGATCCATTTCGACCTTGTGATGAAGATGAAGAGATACTTGGTCATGAAATACCATATATGAGTGCCATATGAGCTCTTATGTATCTTGCAAATTGCACAAGACCAGATATATCTTTTGCTACCAACTTGTTGGCGAGATATAACTGGGCACCTACAAGGCTAGTTCGATATAAAACAGAGCGTCCACGAGGAAATCAAATTCTCCGCGGCCTGCTAAATTCATCTCCTCGCGTTCCCCATTCATTACCAACGACCAACATCTGAAGGCTGATTCTCTATTCTCAGTTTAGTTCGTCATTTTCTCTCCCTTTTCTTTCGCCCCTTTTTGCTTTATCGTGTGTTTAGGATTCTGATATCATTAGTTAGAAACCTAGATGAAATTGAAGTTCAATTGAACTGTTTTTTTTTGTTAACCGTTGATTATGTGTTTTGGAAGAGTGAATACTCGATTACTTTTTATCGTTAATTATATTTTGGCAACATGTTTGCTTTGGTTAAATTTTTAGTTGTTGCTACCAAGTGCACAGAAGTTTCAAGTTCCAATTAGATTAATTATTTCCATTGTTGCCCAGACTCGTTGCTTGTTCTTTAGTTAGTTTCATCGTCACTTGTATTTTGGTTTTGCAGCAAAAGAAGGGGTTTTGATTTGCCTTTACTTATAACTGCTTCTAATTTTTCTCTCTTTTTATTAGCTATATATTGCCTGCCTAGTTTTGTAATGTCTTATTACTGCAGAAAATTGTAAGAGTAAGAAATGAGTCAAAGAAATTCTGTGAATGGGAGGCCAATTGGAACAGATGGTTCCGATTTCTCATACCGTATGGTCGTCGATTCCAGTACGATCCACTTGTTGAGTTTTTTTTTCTTCCTTTTAGCCTATTTCCGTTTTATTTACAGTTAAATCTGCGAATTGCTTTTGGTTTTAATTTATGGCTTCCTATATTGATGTTTAATTTGAAGGGTACAAAAAGGTGACTGATGGAAAACGCCGTCTAGGAAACCTGATCTTAGCCCAGGTATTCCAGGGAAATGTGCTTTAGTTGGTTGAGTATTATTTATCTAAATGTGATTTTTCGAGAGGTGCTGTGGGAAATAGTAAGGGATGTCTACAACATATTCTGTAAAGGAAAGTGAAGTAATGCTCCATATTAGCTTTGTTCTCATTTTCTTTTCTTTGTGGATTTTATGAAGCATTCTATGCCCTTGATGATTTTAGCTGTTGAAGTACAAGATGTATATTAAATAAACAAATCCAGTACAGAGTATTTCTTCTATTGTGTGCTATGGGTGAATATTTGCAGGGATTTATTCAATTTGGAGCTGCAGTAGTTCATTTTCTACCCACATTGGAAGGAGGAAGTCTTGATAGACTTTCGGTTTCTTCTAGCGTAATTTTCTTTCTTTCTCTTTTAATAGGAGAATTGGGTAAGTTGGAACATCCTCTTTGTTCAATTAGTAAATGTTGAGCTGATGATGATATGTGTCTTAACTTGACACCTCATATTTGCTATTTGAAGGTCGGAAACGCAGCCGTGTTAACCTTTTGAAGCTGTATTTGTTTGGATCGTTCGTCGCTGCTCTTTTATCAATTGCTTTTCTCCTTAGTAATGAGAAAACTTTTGAGGTATAATCTTTACTCTTTCGGAGCTACTGAAGTTCTCAGATTTAAAATTTTACTCTAAACTAGAGGAATTGGAGATGCATACTACTTGCACACATCCTTTGTCTGGATTTACTGCTTATCAGACAAGGATGAGCAAGCTGTAGTTTCTTTTCTTAATGTTGCACAAAAATAATACTCCCTCCATCCAAAAATAATTGACGTTTTAGAAAGTTTCACAATGATTATGAAACCTCACAAAGTGATTTATTTGTCCATATGTGAGCCTAGTAATAAATGTTCTTGCGCTTCTCATACATAGTATGTTAGTTGAAGATGAGTTAAATAGAACAATCTGGGAAGAAAATGAGAAATGTTGAGATTGGATATAAAAAAATTTACTGTTGGCTGGTTAGTCAAGATTTCATTGAATTGTAAATGGAACCGAAATATTTCATCTAACTTAATGTTCATTTCATCTCCATTTTTTTTCTGCAACTGCAACAGAAAAATAAAATTCAAAACATTACTATATGTTTTTCTACAAAGAAAACTATTCAATCACCCCGTAGTAACTGATAATGGGACGAGGCTGTAAAGATGCTTTGGGTTTGAATTTTTGGTTTGATAGACGAATCAAACCCATATCACAGTTATTCAATCACTTCATACTAACTGATCTGGGTCAAACCCAAATCACTGTTATGCTTGGTAATTCCAACTTAACATTATCAATTATTACACTTTCATTATTTTATATCACATCATTTCTTATCATTACATTTGTATACTATACCATTCACTATTTCATTTTTATTTATTTTTCCTTAATACAATTGTTCCTATTTTTGCATCTCAATCTTTTGACTAGACAAATTTTTTCGAAACATTTCTATATCCAATCGCAACTAATGTTCAGAATTTCCATAACAACAAATAATTTGCGACAGTAATATAAGAATTGGATTATTGAGATGGTTGTTGGTTAAACCTAAAAACCAACATATGTTGGTTGATTCTAAAACATATATAAGTTGAGGATGCATGTTGTGCCCCTTGGCAATGTTAGCATCCAGGTCTTCAAAAAGAAAGATCTTATTTAAGGGCGAACCATACAAGGTGGATCCATGTACTCCTTTGTGCATCTTAGTGAAGCTTTTCCAGATGTTCCATGTGCTCTAATTGATAATTTTATTGGACTTTGTCCACTTATTTCACTGGAAATGTAAAAGCAAAACAATTGATTGCTTGAAGGCCTGTACACATACATTATGTGTTCGTGGTTGATATCACTATTTACAGCTTCTTCGGTTGATCTGGTTTTAACGTTTGATTCCTCTTCAAGCATGCATGCATTCTTGAAGCTAGTTCTAGCTTAAGAAGTAAACTTATGCAGTGTTTCTTTTCTATCTCTCTCTTATTTATTTGCCTCGCGCAAGACAAGAGTTGCTTTCTTTGAAATATTGGCATCAACACCTAATGTGTGGAAAGAACAGGGAAAGAAAAAATCGAAAGAGTGATTTTCTGAGTAATTCCACTGCTAGCCCTTTCTCCAAGTTATTAAAATCATGATCGATCCCAGTTATTGTACAGGAAGTGTAAGAAGAGTCTTTTTGGCGTTTTCATAGCACCTTGTCTTATGGACACTACCCATAGCTGTAGTTTTATGATTTTGACGTAAAGAGGGGGCATCTTACAAACATTCTTGAATGATTGAGACTTTCGACAATTTAATAGTTGCTTAACCTGTCAAATTCACTCTTTCTTTTGGAAACTTGTTTCTTATCCTCCCTGATATCATTTTTGGTTTCACTGAGTCATTTTTGTACTATTTAGTGTGGGTGATCCCCCAATATTGTTCTATTGTTCTCCATATCTAGCTGTGGACAATTTTTTGCATTTGAAAGGTCTTCCATTATGCCCAGTTATCTTCAGAATGTCCTAAAACGGGTCATAGACAGACTTGGTGCTAAATGTTAAAGTTGATCATTCATATTATTTATTGTTGAGCTCGAACAAATTTGAATTTCATGATTGCACTGATCCTTGTGTGGCTCCACATGATTATCATTATCACTCGCACGCTGAAAAGTTAATATATGAGACTGTCAAACATATTGATTCTCACTAGCTGTTACTATGTCGAACTTGTGTAATCAGATTATAAAAGATTTGACTAGGTGGGAGGTATCAAGGTCTGAGATCTACAACATTACTCCCGTTGTAATAGGTGAATAAATCTTTATTATCCTAAAGATAGCTTAGCTCTAACGAAATGTGCAAAAGATTAATTAAATTGTTTGTTTTTCTTCTTCACCATCTATCTGGCAGGTCTCCTGGTTCAGATATTTGCTCTTGGAGAGACGATCTCTCTCATCCACAATATGGCTCCTCCCAAGAAGGCATCTTGATGCTTCTATTAAATATATAATTTGAAATAGAGTTAAAACGACGTTCTTGGGTTCGCGACATTTATATGGTGGTCTCGCATTATTGATAATAACTTATTTCTCTTTACACCTTTCATTATGGACTCGTTGCGTTTTCTACAGGAAATTTTTTGAGAATGAGTGTAGTTTCATGTACTTGCCTTTCGATTGTTAATCAAGAAATACTTTCATTTGTACTGCAATTTTGGAAAATGAGTGTAGTTTTATGTACTTGCCTTGTGATTGTGAATCAAGAAATACTTCATTTGTACAACAACGACCTTAAAACGCGGCTAAAAAGTGTCAAATTGTTGGGCCTCAAGTTCAATTGCATTCTCGGCTGTAATTTTGATTGGGTTGAAATTTATAAGTATATCGACTGAATGAAATGAATCCAACAGTGATTCACCCAGTTGAGATTGATTACAATACCACCGCAATACCCCTTTTATAAATAATAGCAAATTGAAACTCAAATTATTTTTAATAGAAAATACGGGGGTTGAATGAACTAAAATTGGGTTAAAACATAGCATAAGCCCGTCTAAGAAAAATCCAATGCCGAGTCAATCAACTCAAATGGATGTGAGACAACGTTAGTAATATGATGGAAAGAGAACAATATGTTGTAATTTGAAATTCCTCGCTTCTTTATAAGCATCCACTATTCTACACCAAGCATAAGTACACAGTAGAGAGAAAGAAACCGAGATATCGAGCAACAAGACAAGCGTATCCTTTTATTAATGATCATATAAAAAATAAAGTGTTAATACTATTAAATGGCCATAAAAATTCACAAAACACAAATTTTGACCACCTTTTATAAAAATCATCATTTTTAGCCATTTTAACATGTATTTTTACTATATTACTCTTAACTCACTTTTACCTTTCCACTTCCCCTAATTTTTTTTCACTCCCCCTTTTTCACATTTCATTCCTATCTTCAAAATTTTCGTCCACCGCTCTCACTTCAGTCTTCAAAAAATTTTCTTCAAATAATTCATCTTCACGACCGATTCTGAGCAAATCTTCAAAAAATTTTCTTGACGAAATCGACCGGGCCTTCACCTCACGAGCAGTGTCTTGTGCCGGACTCGGGTGCAAGATTTATGCGAGTCGAAGCTAGGGTTTCGGAAATTGGGATCGTCGGGGAGCTCGAACGCCATGCAGAAGAAACTCGACACGCGCTTTCCGGCTGTAAGTACGCTCTGTGTAGTTTTCTTATGGTCCTGTTAATGGAACTAATTATGGTTTTCGTTTTCAAGGGCTCTGCTTTTTTTTTTCTTTTCTCTTTTTTAAGTTTGTTACGGTTGTTAGAGTGATTAGTGTAAATTAATTTTTCTTTTCAGCAAGATTTAATTTTTTTATTAGATTTTCAATATTTGATTAAATTTATTTTATTTCTCTTTTAGTTCCAGTTATGATTTAGTTGATGTGATTACTTGTGAAAAATTAGGTATTTGCAGCAAGATTTAATTTTGCTAATATTTTTTTTAGTATTTATTGTTTTTTTTT